TCAATTTTTTTTTTCCTTAGTGGAAAAAAATCATTTAACTACTAGCTCTAGGGAAACCAGAAAGTGATAAAGTCAGTATAAGTCAATTCCATGGTTCAGATAATAGTAATAAAAATTGTCATTAAATAAAGAGGAGACCGAGGAAAAGGAAAAGATGTGGGGAATGGGATTTTGCGGCTAGAGTAAGGGCTAAATCCTATATTCCACAGTTGAAGGCAGAAAACTCGAGCGTGCTTTCTAGGGCCAGACAAAGGTCACGGTGGGAAGGTGCTGCCTGTTACATGGACATGGGTCTGAGCTCTGGCACAGTCTATGGGCTAAGCACCACCAGGAGTGACCGCTGAGCAGAGTAAACCTGGAGCACCCCTGGGTATGGCCTCAAAACCAAAACAATTTTAAGAAGAAGAAAAAGAACCATGCGGGGCCAGAGCAATAGGACAGCGGGCAGTGCATCTGCCTTGAACGTGGACAACCTGGGTTCGATCCCCCCGGCATCCCGTATGGTCCCTGAGCACCACCAGGAGTAATTCCTGAGCACAGAGCCAGGAGGAGCCCCTGAGCATTACTGAGTGTGCCCCCCGGCCCCCAAAAAAAGGAGGGGGAGAGATGAAAAGAAAAAGAACCGGGGCTGGAGCGATAGTACAGTGGGGAGGGTGTTTGCCCTGCACGTGGCCGACCCAGGTTCGATTCCCAGCATCCCACATGGTCCCCTGAGCCCTGCCAGGAGTAATTCCTGAGTGCAGAGCCAGGAGGAACCCCTGAGCATTGCCGGGAGTGACCCAAAAATTCAAAACAGAAAAAAGAAAAAGAACCATACACTTCCTACCATATTTCAGAGAATAATGAACAAAAGAAAAGTCAAAAGGCTGACCTGCTTGCCGCTCCCATTCCAGGTGAGCTAGTCTCTGGCTGAGCCCCTTCCCTTCCTGCCCGGTACCAACAGCCCCCACAGATGTGGCCACATGACAGATCACTCAGCAAAGTCCCCATTGCTCACAGTTAGACTTTCTGCTCTTCAGCAAAGACAGAGAAGAAAAAGATCAAGCCCCAGCCGAATGCCTCAGCATCTTCCAAGGAACTGACTATCAAAACTCAGCCCCAACCCAGCAAGGAACACTAGAACACCAGCAGGGCATACACGGGAGCTCCCAGAGTTCAATCGGCAAAACCAGCATCACTGGAGGCAAACTCCAGCCTGCTCAGTAAATCCGCCACCAATGACTTGAGTAACACTGAGGCAAAGGTGCTTAATGAACACAAACGATGGCACAGATAGTTAACAAAGCACAAGGAAATATGAGCCGAATGAGAAAACTTCAAGCAGAAATGACAGAAATGAAGAACATGGTAGGCGATATTTTTTTTACTAAAAAAAGGTCAATAGAAGCTTTGAAGAGCAGAATAACAAGCTGAGCCAAAAATTGAAGACCTCCAAGCTGAGGAGGAGGAAACTGGTAGGAAACAGCAGAAGGTGGAAGAGTCTGGAAAGAAATGAAGAGCATACCAGAGAACTATGGGATGACTTCAAGAACAATAGAAGAATCAGCAGTCCCTGAAGAACAGGAAGGCAAATATGATTTTTTAAAAAATAATCCAAGAAATCATCAATAATAAGTTCCGAAGTTGAGAATTATAGGCACCAAGATCAAGGACCAAAGGATCCCAGAGAAAATAAAACTCAGCTAAGAGAATTCCAAGACACATTATACTAAAGATGACAAAAGCCAAAGAGTCAGAATATTCAATGCAGCAAGATCACTGTCACTGTCACTGTCACTGTCCTCCCGTTGTTCATCGATTTGCTCGAGCGGGCCCAGTAACGTCTCCATTGGAGACTTTGTTGTTAGGAAAGCCCTTAAGATGTACAGCAGACCTAGCAAATGCATCTCTGAGATCCAGAAGAGGATGGAGGGACAAGGTATAAAACCTCAACGAAATGAATACCTCACCAAGAATACTCTGTCCAGCTAGTTTATCTCTCAGATTTGAAGAAAGGATACTGAGCCTCGTGGACAGGAAACAACATAGGGTATTCATAGCCCTAAAACCAGTTTTGCAAGAATTAAAAGAGCTACTCTACAGGACAAATGTCCCAACATGTGGCACTGAGTATGGTACTCACTCATGGGTCGCCCATTTCTAGACTAAGAAAGATATGTTTACTCGTAGTTTGCTACAGGATGTTATTCATTTTCAAAAATGAATTAACATCTTATATATATGTATATATTGTTCTATGATCAGGGTTTTTTATCATTTTATTGTAATCATTTACTTATTAATATAGGCCCTTAAGCAGTGTCTATATTTTCTGTTATAAAACCAATATTCCCTTTCTTAGAATAAAACACTATACTTTTACAACATTATTTATACTTTTACAATCAATATTTTTTTTAAATTTGGGGGCCACATCCAGTGATGCTCAATGGCTCTGGTTCTGCACTCAGGAATTACTCCTAGCGGTGCTCAGGGAACCAAACGGGATTCCGGGGATCGAGCCCAGGTCGACCAAGTGCAAGGCAAATGCCTTACCCATTGGACTATCATTCCTGCCCCTACATCTCTCCAAACTCTACATTTATTTTTAATTCTCTTCACTCTTACTAAATTTTATACTTGTAGACTATTTCATAAATACTCTTAAATGTATCAGCACAGAATATTTCAAAAGGTTTTATTTATGGCAGGGAAGACATGGCACAGTAAGATTCAAATGCAAAGTAAAATTGAAGGCAATATATTTTAGATGCCATTGTTAAAAATTTAGTTATGTGAGACTGTAAACTATATTGCATTAAATGGTTTAATTTACGTAAGTTAAAATCACACAGCAATCAATCATCACAAGTAGACTTTTATTGATATATTTTCTGATAATTCTATTTGCCATTTCTTCAAGTTTTGTTGGATCAAGTAATCTGAAATAAATTTGTTATATGCCTGCCACGGGGACAGACGAGGGGTCAGAAGGAACCTGGGGATACTGGTGGAGTGAAAGGGACAGTGGTAGTGACATTGGTGCTGAAACAGTGTAAGCCTGAAACAACTTTGTAAATCACTATCTTAATAAAAATAAGTTCACAGTCACTGTCCGTTGTTCATCGATTTGCTCGAGCAGGCCCAATAAAATCTCCATTTTGAGACTTTTTTTTTAATTTTACACCTTGAAAACAAAGAAAACTGAAGAGCTTTTCTTTCATTTTTTTAATTTTTATTGGTGAAACACCCTGAGGTACAGTTGTAGACTTACAAATTTTTGTGCTTGGGTTTCAGTTATACAATGATCAAATACCCATCCCTCCACCAGTGCCCATTCTCCACCACCACCAATCCCAGTATCCCTCCCACCCACCCCCCATCCTCCCCATCCCACCCTGCCTCTGTGGCAGGGCATTCCCTTTTGTTCTCTGAGCTATTTTCTTTTAACTAATATTTACTGAGCATCCAGTATACATCAGACATTATTCTAGACCAGAGTCTCGACCTAAATGCTTTTGATAGTGGGTGGAGGGGTGGAAGAGATGGGAAGCAGGCAGGCCTGACAGTTTCCAGGAATTACTCCTGGCTCTGCACTCCAGACTCACGCCTGGCATGCTCAGGGAACCGTAGGGAATGCCAGGGATTGAACTTCAGTTGGCCACGAGCAAGGCAAACACACCCTATCATTTGTCCTATTGCTCAGGCTCCAGTCCCTTGGGCACTTTTGACTGGATATTGGTTTATCTGGACTACCAATCCTATCAGGTGCTAAGGATTAATCAACCGTTATCTTGTGTGCAAACACCTGTGACCTGTAGTCTCATAACCTGTCACACTGCAGTCATGTGGTCAACTAAGTGGTACCAGGATCCAAGCCTTTATAGTATGAAAGCTTGTAAAAGATATGTAACACTGAAGATTAATATAATTACTATCCTAATCCTCAGGGCATAATTAATTAGCAAAGGAGCTTTCATTGTACACCAACAATAAATTAAAACTGCATAATGTAGGTATGGGCTGGAGCTATAGCACAGCGGTAGGACGTTTGCCTTACGCGCAGCCGGCCCGGCTGAGCCAGGTTCGATTCCTGTGCCCCTCTTGGAGAGCCCAGGAAGCTACCGAGAATATCTCACCCGCAAGGCAAAGCCTGGCAAGCTACCCATGGCGTATTTGATATGTCAAACACAGTAACAACAAGTCTCACAATGGAGACGTTACTGGGCCCACTCGAGCAAATTGATGAACAACAGGAGGACCGTGACTGTGAATGTAGGTATATGAACTAAGTAGTTTGGAGGAAAATGATGTATTTGGATAGAGATTGGAACAGCAGTTTTAAGTAGCTGGAAGGAATCACATTTAAGTAAAATTCATGAAGTGAAGATAAGGAAGCTGAAGCTCAAATGTTCCATGGCACATTCAGTTTAATCCAAGTGCAACTGACTGCAGTACGAAAGGGGCCTGCCATCGGGGTCCACCATTCTAGAAAAGCTGTTCAGAACCGGGTTTGGGTGATGGTAGTGGGGGAGCCGCAGTGGTGTTGGGAGTTGGGCCACAACCCAACCATGCCCACGGAGCCCTGCTGCAGTGCTAGGGGAACCAAATGTGGTGCCACAGGTCAATTCAGGTGGATCGCATGGAAGCACCATGCCCAGTACCATCTCGCCAGTGAGGAACGATGAAGCCGTTTGGGGACTGGTTAAAGGAAGTAAAACTTGTTCTAGGGGGCTGGAGCGATAGCACAGCAGGTAGGGAATTTGCCTTGCATGCAGCCGACCCAGGTTCAATTCCCAGCATCCCATATGGTCCCCTGAGCACCGCCAGGAATGATTCCTGAGTGCAGAGCCAGGAGTAACCCCTGAGCATCGCTGGGTATGACCCAAAATGCAAAAAAAAAAAAAAAAAAAAAAAAAAAAAAACCCTTGTTCTAGATAACTCTCGGAAGTTCTGAAATTTGCCCACTAATCTAGAAATAGAAACATCGCATTAAATGTGTTTATTTTCTTTTATTTCAGGCCAAAGAATCCCAGAAAACAAAGATTCTTAAGAGGATATGGTGGAAACACTATAAAAAGATAACAAGCACTCTGGCAATTTTCCTTTCAATCATCATCGTTCTTTTAAGTACAAAAGTAATTCCAACCTGACCTTTCTCCCCACCCCCAGCAGGTACCAATAAACTGAGTCTTTCTAGAGTTTGAGAGCCGACAGTTCTGAGAGCATTCTCTGTGGAGGGACTGGAGGAGGAAGTGGGAGCACTGCCTTGCCCTTTAGAATGCCTTCATCTTGCCACTTTTCCCTCTTCCACTTCTGGGACTTTTTTCCTTTTCAGTTCTTCACTGTGGCCCCAGCCTCTCATTTCCTGGTTGAGATTACACGCGCAGTTCCCCTGGAACCAGTCTGTACTTGACAGCCCAGGGAGAATGTTATTGGGCACTACTTCGGTGATTTTGGACGAGTTACTAATTAAAAAAAAAAAGCCTATTTTCTCATCTGTAAAATGGACCTAATGTTAATGGCAGAGTCACTGTAGAAATGCTAAGTGTTAACTATAATTTAATAGTACAGGATAGCTTTTATTGCATTGACTCAATCCCTGTTTTCATTGTCAAAAAAATCATCCTAAACTTAAAAATTCTTAGAAATACTTCTCATCTTTCTCTTTGTCTACAGATAACATTCACCTCTTCTACACATTTTCACTTGAAATAGAGATTATACTAAGCATATCCTTGCTTAGTAAAGTTTAAAGCTAGAAAGCCATATAATTTCTCATAATAAATCACAGGCCCTGTGCTACCTTACTCCACCCACCTCCCACCCTCGGGTGATCCTCTCCAGTGACCTGAAAGCACTGACTTCCAATAACCATAGGATCCAATTTCCCTCCGTAGTTGCTAACGAAAATTCATAAACTCATTTAAGTTTTTTTATTTAATGAATCACCCGTGAACAATTTTCCATTAAAAAAAAAGTATCAGGGACTGGAGTGATAGCACAGCGGGTAGGGCGTTTGCCTTGAACACAGGTGACCCGGATTCGATTCCCAGCATCCCATATGGTCCCCTGAGCACTACCGGGAATATTTCCTGAGTGCATGAGCCTGGAGTAACCCCTGTGCACTGCAAGGTGTGACCCAAAAAGGAAAAAAAAAGAAGTTATCAGTAGACAGGAGACATGGTGCAGAAATGAAGGTGCTTGCCGTGCACACTGCTGACTCGTCCCATTCAGTCCCTAGCCCGAGTCCCCCAAACACCACCAGCAGTGCTATTGCATGCCGCAGCCCCGGGAAGTGAGTTGGCTGTGCCCCCACCAAAAATAAGTAACTCAGGTAGTGAGTCGTGGGGAAGGGAAAAAGAACAGGGCTTCCTGGCTGGTAACTAGTCTTCATTCTGATGAGGGAACGCCGTCCCTGTATACGTACAGCTCGCCCACTCCTCCAGCACGGAATCCCTGCTCGAGTCACAAAGTACATCCGTGAAATTTAAATGTTGTTCTTCAAGTGTAATGTACTAAAATGTACGAGTACTCTAGGGATGGGTGTCTTGTCTTACACTGACAAATGGAAACACTACTGTCAGGGGCAGAAAAAAATAATAAAAATAAATGAGGGACTAGAGCTGTAGTACAGCAGGCAGGGCATTTGCCTTGCACTCAGCCGATCCGGGTTCGATTCCCAGCATCCCATATGGTTCCCTGAGCACTGCCAGTCGTTCCTGAGTGCAAAGTCAGGAGTAACCCCTGTGCATTGCCGGGTGTGACCCAAAAAGCAAAATAAATAAGTGAAAAACACAGGAATGAAGGCGCTTGCTTGCACAGGGGACCCACCTGGTCCAGGCCCTCTTTCAACAGAAGTGACCCTTCATTCCTGGCACCAACAGGAGTGACCCCTCATTCCCACCAGGTGTGGCCCCAGAAAACGACTAACTCAACCTAAGTGGTCTACATTGAATTTTTAAGTTTGATGGGCCATACCCAGTTGTGGGGCTGGAGCGACAGATAGCACAGTGGTAGGGCGTTTGCCTTGAGCGCAGCCGGCCCAGCCGAGCCGGGTTACATCCCGCCACCCCTCTCGGAGAGCCCGGCAAGCTACCGAGAGTATCTCGCCCGCACTGCAAAGCCTGGCAAGCTCCCTGGGACGTATTCAATATGCCAAATACAGTAACAAAGTCTCGCAACGGAGATGTTACTGGGCCCGCTCGAGCAAATCAATGAACAACGGGAGGACGGTGCTACAATGCTACCCAGTTGTATTCGGGGCTGGCTTCTGGCAGGCGTATGGGAATCCTAGAGGGGATCAAGCCCGGGTCTGCAGCATGCAAGATGAGAGCCCTACCTGCTGTATTAGTGCTCCAGGTCCAATGATCTTTTCTTTACATAGAGAAAGGTTTTTTTTTTGGGGGGGGGGGGGCGGTTAGGAGTGAAGGGGTTGGAAAAATAACAGTTCAGTGACTTATTAAAGATCACACAATCATACAGCTAAGATACTATCTATGGTATATAGCTATGAAATCCCTTTATTATTTCATCCACTTTTATCTGACAATAACTTACTATGGACAGAAAGCAGTTGCATTTTATTTTTTTGCCAGACTGGTAGGATGTTCCTGGGGGGATATAAACAGGAATTTGGAGATAAACTGAAAAAGAAATCATGTATCTTGCTGCCCTTATTTTTGAAGCCCTCATAAAATTTACCTAATATGATACTACATTTGTGGCCAGGGAGTACAGGTTTTCACTAACTTCATGATCGTCTAGGGGCTGGAGCGATAGCACAGTCAGTAGGGCGTTTGCCTTGCACACAGCCGACCCGGCAACCTGGGTTCGATTCCTCCACCCCTCTCGGAGAGCCCAGCGAGCTATCAAGAGTATCCCGCCCGCACGGCAGAGCCCGGCAAGCTCCCCGTGGTGTATTCGATATGCCAAACAGCGGAACAAGTTTCACAATGGAGACGTTACTGGTGCCCGCTCGAGCAAATCGATGGAACCATGGGAGGTCAGTGCTACAGTGCACTGTAGCTGTCTAGCTTTCGTGGTTCAGGACACCAGATTCAGAAACCTAAAAATGAATGCACCTCCACAAGATCCCTAGCCTGCATGTTTCACAGGCCCGGCGGGTGCCGTAACCCCAAGCACTAAGCCCCACACGATGCCTGCTTTTCTAGGCAGACTTAAATAGTGTAAGAGGAATCCGGATGATATGCATTCTTACAGACTACTGAACACTGCCAGGAGAAAGCCCTTGTTTCCCAAGAAGTGTTCCTCTGCTATCTGTGCTAGCTCTGTCTTCTACAAATACCTGAGCAGAAATAAAGAAGGCAACCTTATACTTTCTCATTCATTTATGCAAATATGACTGGAACAGCTTTGCACTTTAGAATGCTTGCATTCTAAGTTACAACACTGATAACAGTAACAAAAGTTACAAGAAATGAATGCTTTCTATAGAAGTGTAAGAAATGGTCCTACACACACACACACACACACACACACACACACGGGGGAAAAAAGAAAACAAAAATCCTAACCCCTTGGTGCTGGAGCAATAGCACAGCGGGTAGGGCGTTTGTCTTGCACGCAGTGAACCAAGGTTCGATTCCCAGCAGCCCATATGGTCCCCCAAGCACCACCAGGAGAGATTCCTGAGTGCATGAACCAGGAGTCACTCCTGTGCATCGCTGGGTGTGACCCCCCCCAAAAAAAGCAAAAAACAAAAACAAAATCCTAACCCTAAATTTAAATGCCAGTTTGGGGGGGGGGGGGGGATGATAAAAGAACATTTACCTAAATGGTCTGCAGGGACAGAAAATAACTTCCAGAGCAGTAATAATCAACAGTGGCTTATCACCACAATTCCATTGGTTGAGAGGAATTTAGGCATGTAGTTACATTAGATATTAGTAAATTTTCCCCAGCACCTGAGATCTGCACGATTACTTCTATTTTATAAGGAAATTGAAGCGCCAGCACTTGCTCCAGTCTGCTTGGTTCTAAGAGGGAAGGGACTGGTCAAGCCACCTCAGTGCAGCTGGGTCAGTCCCATCGCTGACTCTGGGGCCTGCCAACTAGCTCGGCCTTTCATTTTTATTTTCTACCTCTCCGGGGTGCCTTTAATTCACTCCCATGTTGCCTGTCAACCTCTTTTCCGAATCCCAAATCATCTATCAACTATTCGATATACCCACTTGGATTTTCATATAACCACCAGAAATTTAAATCCCAATACTTGAGAATATATTTTTCCTCCATTCCCCATAAAAACTATTTCCTTTTCCCTAAAGGGGTTGTTATACTGTATTTTAGAACCAACTTAATCTACGATCAGTTCCCTCTATCTCATCTTCCCAAATTAGTCGGCAAATTTACACAACCTCCATTCAAATCTCCTGATGTTTCATGGCCTTCGCAAGTCTATGAGAAGACAAGAATTACAGAAGCGAAAGTCAGGCGTGCTCAGGCAAGCTGAAAACAGGACCCACGGTCCATTACGGTTGATGGCTGTCTGCTGCCCACAGCATGGCTGGGAGGGCATTTAAACCAGTCCTCTGGGACAGGCCCTCCACACCTCTCCAGGATCCTAACAACGGAAAGCTTTGGTGGGCAGCTGTCAGCAAGAGAATCACCATGCTCAAGAGTCTGCTTACGGTGTGATGAGGTCTCCAAGTCTGTGTTTAAACACACTACACCTGAATTCTTATCCCAAAGCACTTGCGTATTACCTACTAATAATGCCCAGATCGAAGAAAAAGTTTCATACTTGGGAAAACTGATTCCTGGAGAAGTTTTATTAACTGATATCACAGGGCCAATGGTTGAGCTGGACCTCTGGACCATTCATTTGAAAGTGTATCTCATTGAACGTATTACTAGAAATGTTTAAAATCTGCTAAATGCCACATTTTAACAAATCTGGAAGTATCACAACTTATTTCCTTCTGAATTCCTATCAACTCAGAGTCATGGCAGAGCCTAGAATATGCAAAACCCAGCTTCTGACTTTTAGAACAATGGCAAACCACAAACTGGTCACAAATGCAACCAGCAGTCATTTGTGAAGGGCTGGCCTCAGAACCAGACCATGACCTGTCCTAACGGAAGCTCTTGGGTCGCTAGCAGCAAGCAACCAGTTCCTTAAAGCCCTCAAACGACACAAATACAT